AGGCGCAGGCAAGACCTCTTCTCGCGGGGTCCACTCGGTCGTCCTGGGCGACGTCGAGTATGCTGATGACACTCAGATTTTTGGCGAGCAAGACGAGGTGAGCTTGGCTGAAGATATTTTCGTCCAAACATTGCACGATTGGGCGCAACAGGAACACCCGGACAAACGAGAAAAGCTCAGTCTCTGTGCAGGCGGCAGGGGCCACGGAGGTCCTTATAACCAATTTGAACGGAAGATGCTCAAACACCTCGGGTGCGGACTGGTTTTTTTGCGGTTCGGCGCATTGCCCGGTTGTGGTCCCTCGGCGCCCATCGAGGCCGGGGTAAACCTGGTGGGTTGGCAAAATCACGTCGCCTGCGCGTTATGCGCAGTGTTCTCGAAGGTACTCTAGCTATTAGCTGGCGGCAATTCTGTATTTGGTCTACCGTTCAAGTTCGAAAAGCGCAACAGGTGCTCTCTCGTGGGATTCGCCGTGCGCTGGGCCTTGATGCCTTGAATATGCGTGAGTTCAATATTGCTGACGCGGCTTTGCGAAGACTCGCGCACTGGGATACTTTTGAACATCTACTCCAACGCCAAGTCCTGCGTTGGGTCGGCCATATCGCCCGCATGCCAATTTCTAGACTGCCTAAGATTGCTCTCTTTGGGTGGCCAGAGGGGATGACTATAGACATCGTTCCTGCCGCTTTACCTTCCCCATGTGAGTCTACGGCTGGTCAACTCCCTCTTACCCCGCCAAGGCCCGTCCCGTGACGACGACCGCTTGATCAACAGCTGGCGGCCTGGGCTGCCCCTGCCCCCTGTCCCTGCTGCCATGCTCACCGATGCCGCGCCTCCCCCGGTAGATCCTTTTTCCGACGCCGAGGAGCGTCCCTCCATCTTGGCCACGCCCGGCGTGTCCTTATGTGGGCGCTTCTGCCACGGCCCTCCAGACGTATTATGACAACCTCCACGCCCCTCACGACCCTGCTGTCACCACTGTCTTCCACTCCAAGTGCCCCAAATGCAGTCAGGTCTTCGTCACTGCGAGAGAAGTCCGCCGTCACCAGTGTCCTGTCATCCCTCGGACAGTGGATGATATTCCTGTCACCCTGGCTTTGATACCTTCTTCGGCGCCGCCTGCTTTGGTTCCTGACTCCTTTAAGGGGTGGGCCCTCTATACCGACGGTGCTGGACCAGACGAACGTCATCCGGATGCAGGTTGGGGCGTGGCAATTTGGGAAGGCTGTCTCTCTTCTGACCTCGAATGGGACGCCCGCTGGCTCGGTGCGCGGACTGCCTCCAACAATACCGGGGAACTAACAGCAGTCGCGGAAGCCCTGGAAAAGGAAGCTCCTGGCCCCGCAAATGCTCCTGCTACCATATGGTTCGATTCCACTTACGCCCATGACATAATCACTGGTATCGCTGCCCCTGCTGTGCGGCTAACGAGGAACTTGCTACCACTGCTGTCGACATTTATCGCCGTCTTTCCACTCTCCGCGTCATACGGTGGTGTAAGGTTGTAAGGGCCATTCAGGCAGCCCGGGTAACGACTATGCTGATGCCTTGGCTGACAAGGGTCGAGCATGAACAAACCCAACACTCGCCTCGATGGTTACTGCCTGTCGGTTCCCCGGCCCCTTGTGATCCCCTGCTCACCGACCACTGCTGGCGATGCGGTAAGGTTTACACTGACGCCTGGCAGCTCGCCGGTCACGAGGCCTACTGCAAGGTCCCAGGTGCGCCGCCTGCTTCCATCCCTTGTCGCCGAGGCTGTGGCCGGTCCTTCGAATGGCGCTTTGCGGAAGGTAAGCGCAAACAGGCCCATCGTGCCAGAGAATTTCGCCACGCGCACGAAAAAATCTGTCGAGGCTCTGTGAGGCCCTGACTTGCATCCGCCCCACCTGTGACATGTCCTTCTCGCCATCTACCTCCGACGAAATGATTCTTTAACACCGCAAAGCCTGCACTCCTGCCTCCTCTTCCGACGCGCCCAAGTCTTCTTCTTGGAAATGCCCTCGCTGCTCCTCCAGCTTCACCTCCATCCAGAGTCAATCCCACCTGGACGTCTGTCGCGGCTCCTCCAAGGCCAATCGTACTTGCTCTCTCTGCTCCGCAACTTCGCAAACCATTGACGCCCGACTCAAACACGAAGCATCATGCCGTGGCTCACTCGAGGCCAACCTCACCTTAGCCCACGGTCCTGCTCGCAGGAGACCGTGGGCCTGTCTTTGGGTACTCTTGCCCCCCTGTTTCAGGGGCTCTGGTCCTGCTCGCAAGACACCAGTGGGTGCTCGCACCGGCAGGGCCACCCTTGCTCTCTTTTCGCCTTGTGCGTCTAGTCTCACGTCTGTCTTCCCTACATCCCCCGCTGCCCTCCCCCCTCCTGCGCACCCTTTCTCCTCCTTTTGTTGCGCCCTGAGTTTCTACGTCTGTACACCATGCCCCGTGTGCCGAAGCTTAGGGTCAGTGGTTCTAGTTTGCTTGCAAGCGCCCTGGGAGAACTTATAAGGAGTCCCTCGGAACTCCACCAGCGCTCCATGGCCCAATTGGAGACAAATGGGGAGAGCGCGCGTCCTTCAAGTGGAAGCCCGGCTTGATCGGTCTCACGGCCACTGACCTGTTGATTGGACCCAAGCTTTGTGTTGCCTCTTCTGAACCCTAAGTCTGGGCCCCTTTCTTGGGCGCTTGGGCCGCTGGGGAAATGTCACGGAGATGACAGCCTGGGAGAATGTTTTGTTGTTTTCTATTGTAGTTCCTCGGATCAGTCCTTAAGCTCCACGCCAGTCCCCGCTTGGAGGTTTGTGGTGAGTGAGGCCTTCCTGTCTCACGTGGTACTTTAGTTTTTAGGTTTTTCTTTCCCTATTTGAGAATTCCCTTCTGGCCGGTTCTATTTTTTCTGATTGTTCTTAGTGCCACCTACTTTACTGATCCACCTTCGGTTCCTTCTAGCTTCCACTTCCCCCGACGACCTCTTCTGGTTCTCGTTTTCCTTTTAAATAACTTGTCGTGAGTCGGATGTAACCTGTGTTGATTCGTTCTGACCCTTGAAGGACCTACTTTGGCCTATGGGCACTGGCTGCGCTTCATACACTCAGGACTGCCCCAGGAGGCCAAAACTAGCCCGTTACTCGTCGACCAGCAAATGGGTCCCCATGTAGTCCACCAATACCCTGCTGATATGGACGTTGTTGATGTTTCATCTAAAACAGAAAACAAAAAATGAACTTCCGACTCCCGAGCAGTTTGGATTCACCCCACGGCCGTATACTTGCTAGCCCGTGAACTTGCAATGACCGCTCCCCCACAGACTCTTGAGAACCGAGTTGCACGACTTGAAGAGTTCCAGTCTGACATGCTAGCTTGCTACCGCATCCGCTTGACCGGATGCCCGACCTTGGAGAAGAGGCGCTTGGAGATTTTAACGGGGACCGTAAATTTTGGGTCCTGAAAGACGAGCTTTTGACGCTTGTCTTGAAAGATTTAGAAGGTCCCCTGCAGGCCGTTCTTCCAGACACTAACAAGTTAGCCAGCGTCTTGGGGGAGCTCAAAGAGGTCCTCGGCACACCGCCAGCGTTACAGGGTGTCTTTCCCGTAGGGGGCAAGTGGGGAGAACATGTAGCCCTGGATGTCAAGTGGAAACCTGGACTGATTGGCCTCCGGGCTACGGACTTGGCCAAAATGGTAATTGGTCCAAAGCTTCGTGAAGCTTCTACCGAGACCAAGGTCTGGGTGCCCCTAAGTTCCGGAGAAATGGCAAGGCGCCGAAAGCGCAAGGCCAGCCCACGCGCTGCCTCTCGTGAGCATGCGCGCGTCCCGACGGTCTCGCCCACGCTGAGTGTCTTGCGGCCTCCCATTTTCCAGCTACTCTGACGTTGTCAGTTTCTCCAAAAAGTGCGAGCGCTCGCCGTAGTCTCCTGTTCGTGTTTAAGGCTTCGTCTTACCCGGCCTGCGCCCCCTGGCTCGTGGCTCTGCGTCCGCGGTGTACGCCGTGGTCCACCCCCCTCCCCCTTCGTCACTCTTCTTTTTCCTCCCCCCCCCCCCCCCCCCTCCGGCCCCCCCCCCCCCCCCAGTTACGCTCTGTTCCAAGAACCCAGGTTGACCCAAATCCGCGGTGAATTGGCTGAAAAATTCAAGCCGGAGTGGATGGTAGGCGTTTTCGCAGTGGCAACCCGTGAATTTAAGGACGCTAAAGTTTTAGACGTCCGTTTGAGACTCGGGTTACGGGCCATGCGTCTCCATGACTTAGTGAAGAACGGGTTGGGGCCAAAGCTCACGGGTGCTCCAGGGCCAGGTCCGCTTCTGCTGTGGATACAAAAGAGATGGAAAGGCAGCGAGCCAAGTGCCGCGTCCGCTCCAGGTCCCGTAGGCGAGACAGGCGCTGATATTCCCTGTGAGTTCGGCTGACTTGCGGCGGTGATGCCAAAAGCTGTGAGCTTCCTGTGTTCTCTTCCCCTCTCCCCCCTTCCCTCTCCCTGTCCCTCCCCCCCACAAACGTCTTCAAAAACCTACGTCCACAAAAGTCTACCATGTCTTGCACTTAGCCTACTTGTGACCATATTTGTATATATAGACATATTTATCTGACCCAAGTGTATATATATATGTATGTACATATATATATATGCATTAAATCTTTATCCGAAACCTTGTTACAAATACCATCACTTTTGACATACTTATGTCACCTATAAGTACGCCAACCTAAGCTAGCTCCAGGTCTAGTCTCCAACAGCCAACGGCAACATTGCATCCAAAATGTGCTTTAGTGCTGTTGCCCCACCTTGACTTCATATGCGGCTTTGATGTTTCAATGTGTGTCGCTGCGCACATGTCCACGCCAGCCCTGGCAAACAGACAGGCTGACTGACTGACTGAGGATCACTGGCAAGCTCCCAGGCTATTTGTCCCCATCCGCCGGACTCAAATTTGCTGACGTGCCAAATGGACTTGCAGCAATCTCCAAGGTGCCTGCGGCAGGTTGGGGCCAAATCTTGGCCTACATGGCATTCTGCGAGGTTTCTCAGGATCAATCTCCTGGCACACCTGCTGCCGCTGGAGACTTCGGCTTCAAGGTCTTGACTTCATCTGATCCTGCCGAGAAGACAAAAAAACTCAGCGCAGAGCTTGCCAATGGCCGCCTTGCGATGATGGCAATCATCGGAATGTTCTTTCAGGTGCGGGGTTGGGTGAGGCATGAACCATACAACGTGTTGTGTTTGACATTGGTTTGATGGAACGTCATTTGAACATTTTCAATCCAAAAGGATTTCTGAAATATAGTGGTGGTAGGCATGTTGGTTGCTAACATCCACGTTTTCAGGATGGCCTGACTGGCAGCGCTTGGGGGGACTGGGCGAACTACACCGCTTCTCCTTTGCGTGCATTCGAGAATGAGTTGGGCGTTCAGGCTTGCTATATAGTCATTGGTTTAGGGTGGTAATCCAAGAACGCTGACCCAATCATGTAGTCGATTTTCATGCCTCACTGATCACAATGACACAATTTTGATGAAATGCCAAGTCAAAACAACAATTTTTTTTGTTGATGGTGTGACCCCCGCAATGGTAATCCAATCAAGTTGCAACATTGTCAAGAGGGGACTGAACCAGGGCGGCTGGTGGAAACCCGAATACGATGCATGTAAACGAAACTTGACGAATTAACACAAACCTCAATGAGGTGAGGTCAAAAAAATATGTCTTATGTCGCGATAATGTACTTTGTGTTTGTTTCTTGTGGAACGTGGAATCTTTCAAGACTGTATCAGTTGTTTTGATGATACTTCCATCAGGCATTTCAACAGCTGCATTCTGACAATCAGAAGCAGAAGTGGTTCCTGAACAAGAATGGTTCAATCAATCAAGTATGAGAAGAGCTAGAAGGCAGCTTCTCGGGGGTCCTTTTTTGTCCTGTTCAATGGTAACTATCAACAACGAGCTACAACCCCTCACACATACTGTGACGTAAGCCTGTTGGTCGCTGTCTTATGGCTGTCGGTAGCTGGTAGTGGCTACTGTTGGTCCATGGATGTTCCAAGGCTTTATTGGGATAATTCCATAAATCAATGGGACTGTACCCACTAGTTGCCTGAGCCGATAGAAACTCGGAAGGTCGAGAAAGCAAAGTTACTAAGAACCACTGACCCAGCCAAATTGTTGGACACATCATTTTCGGTCAGTTTCTTTTTCATGTTTGTTTGTTCTTTTTCATATTTGCTCCACTGATCTTTTTTTTGCACAATCCCAATGGGTCTGTTTGACCCAGGCGCCTTCTCCTTCGAGTGACCCCTTTTCGGTCTCACACCGCCCACGGAGGCTCCGGTGGGATTCTTCGACCCCTTCGGCCTCACGAAGGACGGTCGGTGGTCCTGGTGGTCCTGGTGGTTGCTTTCAACACTGCTTTCGGCAGGGCACCCCCTAGGGGGCAGGGGGTCCAATATCCATGATTTACTATATAACAATGTCATTTGTGAGAACAGCAGGCATGAGCCTGTGCCTGCCTAAGACCAGTCCTGGAATGCCGTTCGGCAGATCTCTCTGGGCATTGCATGCGCCCAGGGTTTGACTGAAATTGTGTGAATGGCTTTTGACTTTTTGAACGTTCCATGGCCTCTAGAGACCCAACCTCGGACCCAAACGCTTGGGGTCACTTGATGCCGCCGGTTACCACCTAGTCCTGCGAAACAACGAGCTTTCGCCTGGCATCCAAGGCGCCTACTTTTCTTTTGACTAGCCAGCTCCGTGTGGCAAAACCTCCAGGATGGTGACGTGGAGGCCTTCAAGCGCCGACGCGCAACGGAGCTGAAGAACGGCTCGGAGACCCAGCAACCGCCGGCTTGTGGCCCACAGTGTTTGAGACATGTGCGGAGAGACGTTGAAGGTTGTAAGAGGCATTCTTTTGAGGGATGTCTTTTGGTCATGAAGCAGTCAAAGCAATTACTAATGAGGGTGGCGCAGGACCTGCTGACATTTTGGTGACTTACATTCCCTGAAACAATCAAAGAAGTGAAAAAATGACCCCTTTGATGACCCTGTCCTGTACAAACAGGTGGTTTTCCATGGTTTTCCGCTTCCCCATGTTAGTGAGTTGGAACGTAGACTTCCAGTCCCTAATCCTCCACCTCACCTGCAGTCACTAACGTTCGTTCCTTCAGGCCACATAGACCTGCCAGAGTTGGTTCCTTCGCTGGCTTTAGGACGTGTGGCCATGTTGGCCACCATGGGCTACATCGTGCCGGAGTACTTCCGCTTCCCTGGACTGTGCCGGCTACCCACCATCTAGTTGGTTGGTCAGTTGGATCATTCGATGCGATGATGAAATTGCTTTTTCACTTCTTTTGATTCAGATGTTCCCTGGACCTCTGATGTATTGGATCCTTGTCTTTTGTTCGCAAGACCTCGGCTGTATTACCCTCCGCAGGATACTGCTCCCCCACGGCGGGTGTGAAGTTTGCCGATGTGCCCAATGGCTTGGCCGCACTGGGCAAGGTGCATTCATTGAGCCTCTCTCAAGTCAAGCATTTGTTTCACAAGCAAGAGAATCGCTAGGGCATCATTTTGCATTGGCAATTCGTCAGTTGGAGTGCCTTTGTGTCATCCTTCAAGTTCTGCACCTCTCGATGATTGCGTCCGCTTCGAAGTGCCCGCCCCCCCCCCAGCTCAGCGTCAGGTGCCAGCTGCCGGTTGGACCCAGATCTTCCTGTTCCTGGGCCTTGTGGAGAAGGGGATCTACACCTATGATCCCACGCGTTCGCCTGGAGACTACAAGAACGCAGGCGACATATATCTTCGCGTAACACTGCGCGAAGTCGCCTTTCGCTGGCGCACAAGCGCGAGCTTTCAGAGCTTTTAATGGCTGCGGGTGGGGATCTCTGGGATAGTATATACTTGACTTGAACCCAACATCGGCAGGTGTGCTGGGCGTGCCCAATGGCAGCACCATGGCTGCGGGTGAGGGCCGCAACCGCAAGCTGAACTCAGAGCTTGCCAATGGACGTCTGGTGGCTGGGCGGCAGAGTTCGGTAGCACTAAAAACAAAGGAAGTAGGGATACTTCTCTATATCCATGGAGTGTGCTTACACTTCTCGATTTGTGCGACGCATCGGACTTTTGCTGTGACTTGAGCCAATTCAAAGGTGAGACTAAAGTGTGAATGCGAAATCCTTCGGAGAACAAGTTCATGCAACTGTCTGTGTGTATTCCAACTTTCGTACTCTTCTTCTTGCTTGAACTGTATCCAGAGGCTCCTCGATTGAACAAATCAATAGATCTACGTATTGACTTTTGCAAGAATTCCATCTTCGATTGAGAGCAGTTCCCCAAACAGTGTGGGCACTGAGGGGTTCTTACGGTAAGTGAAAAGCAGGTGTGCTTAGATCGCTGTTCCGCGCGGGCGTGAACGGCCAATTCGTTGGTATTTACGGTGCGTTCATGCCTCTCGACATCATCAATGCGCATTTCGACTGCGCAGGCTTGCAGAAAGTCGAAATGCAGTGATGACATCCTGGCTGCGGCTGAGACGACTCTGCAAAGTCACCATCTCTCTGAAGCGATTCAGATCGCCGTCAACACGCAGGGATCTGCTGATCGGACAGAGTGTCCTGGGAGAAGAGGAGATAGCCTTGAAACGGCGTTCACCTTGGAGGTTGGCATTGGTGCAAGCTTCAACATACAGGCGATCCCATCGGGAGCAGAACTCATCAAACCGTTCTCCTGAATGTTGTCGAGTGGAAAAGAAGGCATCCAAGGAACTCCATGCTCTGTCTTTGTCATTCATCCAGAACTGAGTCACGAGGAGGTTGACCAATGACTTGGCTGTAGGGAGGCGCAGCGGTGGTTCTTGTGGGATGCAAAACGGCTGGTGTCTCAGTGAGATTCGGCAGGTGATTGGAACCACAGGTCCATTTGGCTGTTGAACTTGTCGAACAATCTCAAGGTTCCTGGCAGTCTGTCATGCAGGTCCTTCCGGCTCCATGCTACTCTGGGTCCGAGCGTGTGAGGAGCTTTCCATTTGGCAATAGAGTAGGATCTGGGTTTCCAACCGGGTGGCGCATCCTTGCTATAGGCGTAGCTGCGAAAACACCGCAGACTCCGTCATTCAGAAACAAAGCAAGGTGGCGTGTTGTGGTGGCAGAGGTGAGAGTAGTGTATAGTAGCAATGGTGCAGCAAAGCGCGCGCGAGTTCCGAACTCAAAGACAATGGTGCGAATGCTGTGGCGAAGATGCGATTCAAGGCAAAGCAATACCTGAGCTGGTGCGGAGGAGCAAGCAAATTGGCTCCGCTACCAGAGTTCGGTAGCAAACCAAAAGCAAAGGTAGTAGGGATACTTCTCTATATCTATATCTATGGAGTGTGCTTACACTTCTCGATTTGCGCGTGTCGAATCGAAATGCAACGCATCGGACTTATGCTGTGACTTGAGCCAATTCAAAGGTGAGACTAAAGTGTGAATGCGAAATCGTTTGGAGAGCATGTTCAAGCAACTGTCTGTTTGTATACCAACTGGCAGTAGCTGGCAAAAGCTATGGCTAGGTGGGTGGCCTCTAGCTGTGCTACGGGTTGCAGGAACTTTCTCCAAAAATAAACCTCAGATGGAGTGCCACCCCGACTATTGGAGACGGTCTTCCTTCTTCCAGGGGAGGGGGTCTTTGGGAGATCGATCCCCCTATTTTCATGTGGGGTTGATGTCACAACCATACACCCGGTTCTGAAAGTCAGTACTGTTGCGAAGACCTGAGCAGAAATACAAACGTTCTTTTGTCAGAGCAGCAATCACTTTTGAGTTCATCTAAAGGAGCAGGTGATGAATAAAAGGGCCGCTGCACGGTTCTTTGCAGCCACACCTGACCTAACACATCAGATGTTGCAAACACAAAACATGTGATGGCAATGATGGCATGTTCTTGCAGCTCGACAAAGGCAATGATGGCCATCATCGGCATGTTCTTTCAGGACCCGTGCCCGGTGCACCGTGCAGCGGCTTCGGGGAGCGGTTCCTCCGTACGAAGACGAGTCACCGAGTCGGGATCCTGCGTGATGGTGATGGTATGTGCGCGTGTGACATCAAAGAGATGGTGATCACGAAGGTGTGAAGCAAGTGGACCAATACAATTGGATTGGACTGGGAGCCTGTCGTTCATGCTTTTCAATGGAGATCCCATGCATCATGGGATCATCGATCCCAGGGTTGGTCACCGGTCACTCTTGGAGTGTCTAACTGTCTAACCATGTTTTGACTCATATGTCAGTGACTTTTTACAGGTCCGCCGAATTTTCCAAGAAATGCTATGCAACCCTTCTCAAAGCATGATCTACATGGGTGGAGAAGACCTCCATTTTCTGTGTGACTAAGAAACCAGTGGGATTCACAGCAGGTCCTTCAACCCCCTCAAGAGGCTTAAAACCCATAAATCCATATAAATCCCAAAGACCCTGTGGATGGATGACCATTGGTCAACCACTTGGGAAAACTCAACCTCGGAGGTTTTGCGGAGGTCAGGATGGCCTTGTGGATGGCCCGGCTTCACTTGTCAGGACGGCCTCACGGGCTCCGCTTGGGGAGATTGGGCGAGCTACACGGACTCCCCGCTGCGCGCCTTTGAGAACGAGCTGGGTGTTCAGGCCGATGCTCAAAGCAAAAGAGACATGGAGTTGAAAAGCTCGTCCTTTGACCTCGTCCTCTGACCGCCTTGTCCTGCCAACGATTCTAATCAATCTCTTCAAGTTGAATCAATCAGTCTTGTGAACATTGTGAACACTTTGAAGTCTCTTCAAGTTGAATCAATTGTCCCTGTGCGGAGCCTTTTGTGGAGACGTGGACCGACTATTCTTCCAGGCGCCGGTGGGCTACTTCGATCCTTTGGGCATGTCCAAGGAAGAAAACGGCATCAGTGGGAACTCCGGGAGCTGCCACCTGTTTTGCTTTTCTTCCCATTGTTTTGTTTTTTTTTAAAAAGAAGCAACTCTTTTTTGGCTTTTGTATTGATATTCTTGTCGATTTGTTGTCGCTGGGGGGTTCACTTGTTTTGACCATGCTCATGACTCGACCATGCTTTTTTGGGGTCAGATGATATCTTCGGAGTCCGACGGACATCGAAGCTTTTTGCAAGGGAGTGATCTGGAAGAACAGCTCAAATTATCCTCTCGGAATCAGGGTGAATCAACTTAGAATTTGTGTCCGCCTAGCTGCGGGCTGCGGGCGCCGGTTCCGCACAGCCAAAAAACTTTCCCGGAGGACGGGGACGTGAAGACCTTCCGCCGCCGCCGCGAGAGCGAGCTGAAGAACGGCCGTGTGGCGATGTTCGCCACCATGGGCTGCAGCTCGGCTCTGCGCGGTCGAGCGAATTGAAGACCACGGAGACACGGGGATTTCGGTGATCACATTGGGACTCTTTGCTTGGGGACAAGCAGTCGGCAGGACATTAAATAAACGACATGTGCTCCATCCCCCATCGTTGAGGAGTTGTTCAATGTTTTGTGGTGGAGAATGGACCCAAGGTTAGGGAACCAGATGGAACCAGGATTTATATGAGGGGCTCATCGGGCTCATCATGCTCGACTCTCATGCATATCAACCATGCTCCACTTTAAAAGAAACGACTAACTACCGCACTTGACTGACCATTTCGCACTTTCGCTCAGTCATCCTGCCGGAGTACTTCCGCTTCCCTGGTTACCTCTCGCCTGCTCCTCAGAGCCGTATACAGCGTCCGTGCCGTCCGTGGCCGTGGCCCCACGGCCGTCGCTGTTCGAGGCCTGCGAAGGGCCTCAAGTTCGCGGACGTGCCCAACGGCTTGGCGGCGCTCTCCAAGGTGCTTCCGAAAAGACGGACGGGTGTGTTCAAGGCCCGGTTGGGGTTGGAGATGTGATAGTAGGGTAGTAGGGTAGTAGGGGTTGGTAGTTGGATCCATCTCGAATTTGGGATTTAGTGTGTTGGATGTGGATCACCTTTGGATGCTCTTTTGGACGCTCCATGCTAGTAGTGTCGATGGGACAAGTCCTTCAGATTCCTTTGGTGCATGAGACAGACATAGTGACATAATGATCGTAATGTGACATAGCTGCAAATACCATCGGAGTTTCATGGTTCCAGGGCGATGCAGGATATTTAGAGTGTTTTTTCTTGCCCAGATTTCTCTCTCGAACAGCAGTCTCCCATGAGGAGAGAACTGATCCAGATGTCTCCAGGTGCCTTTGACCGGCTGGATCCAGATCTTCCTCTTCTGCGGCATGGTGGACTTCGGCCTCTACAGGCTCCACAAGCCCGTGGGACATCGTGGGACCTGTCGGAAGGCACCAGTGCAGATAGTTCAAGACCCCATGGAGGGACCCTCACCAAGGGCGGTGGAGGGACCTTCTGCCAGCTGACCCACTCAGGGCGGATGACTCTCGTGATCCTGGTGACTACGAGAGCCTAAGCTGCACCGTGGTGAATGACGGGTGGCTTTCTGCCACGAGCTTCGGTCGACCGCGCGTGAAATGTGTGGGTGACAAGAAGAACCCCTTCGCAGAGAAGATAGATTGAGGGGACTGAGACAGCGAGCAGTGAAGAATGGTTTCAGAAGACTTCCAATAAGAGGAACATGATGTCCAGCGGTTTGAGCTAGATAAAGCTTTGCAACGCCTCTTTTAGAGCGCTTTAAACACTGTCATTGGGTAGCCGGTGCTAGCCAGTGTAGTGTACTTTTAGTTCTTACATGTTCTTACTCCATCCATGACTTTGATGGACGTTTTTATCCTTGATTCGGTGATTGTTCGGTTGCAGTTTGGCCGTGGCCACCAGCAGGGACTGCCCAGTCAGGACTGCCCACCGAGGAACGCCGGCATTTTGGGCGTGCCCAACGCCAGTGGCCCCATGAGCGATGCTGAGGGACGCAAGAGGCGAGCTTCACGGGGGGGGGGCAGGATGCTTTCGGGTTGAGCTTCGAGGTGTTTGAGCAAGTCCAGGACGTGTGGTGGTTTCACTGATTTTAAATCGCTGGGACATGCTGTTGATGCATGTAAGAATTCATGAGACATATACGACTTGTTTCACTTGGTCCCGCAAATCGCCCCCAGATCCTACGACCCCAAATACGCCGGGTCCGTCACCATGAACGAAGGGCAACGCTGAGAGTAAATCTCCAGAATAAAACAAAATTATCCATTGCACAGAATATCATAGTGGCATAGCCGCATATCCTTTTTTTGCAGACCAAACACTTCTCCAATATGAAGGGAACAGACTTTCATAGCTGGCAACCGGTCCCACCGTTCATGGACTAGTGTATGATGAAACGGAAAGACATGAGATTGAACCTGAAAAGCACTGCTTCACCTGCCGAACCCTGAAAATGGCTGGTGGATTTCACACCAAACCCATCATGATCGCGACCGACCCTACTAGTGATGTCAGTGATGTCGTCTGTCGCAGCGATCGGATCGGCCAGGAAGCTGAACTCGGAGTTGGCCAACGGCCGTCTGGCCATGGCAGGAGGGCCCAGAGCGAAATCTCTCCGCGTAAACCGCGGGGCCCGCTGCCGTGCTGAGGGTCTAAGAGGAGCGGCACCGAAGAACTCCCGAGAGACATCTCCTGAGAATGAGAAAGTCTTGGATGGCTAGATTTGTGACGAAGCTGGACGCAAAGGTTGAGTGGTTGGAGCGGACGGGAGGCTGACATAGCATAATGTCAGCAGATACCGAAGGGGCGTCTTGATCGAAAGCCAATAGAAATATATACTAGTAGGAATATATAACTCATGTCAGGAGAGCACAAACTGTCTTGGGTTCATGAACTGTCCGTCTTACACTTCACGCAATCATTGAAAGGAGCTCTAACAGATGTGAATCTACAATCAGCTTTGATTGCACTCGGTTTCTGAAAACAATAGGCCCTCTGAGCCCTCTCCAGTCACCCCAGTCAACCGGATGTGTGATTGAATTGAACTTGAATTGGAGGTGGCGATTACTGGCATGCTCTTCCAGAATGGATCCTTGCTTAGCATTTGGATCTCCGTGAATTTGTGAATGTGCATGTGACATCCCCCCAAGGCAGCAGTTCCATTGATCACGCCTTTTTGGGAAGAAGGCATCAAGAGCTGTGGTACATGGGCTTTGATGCACAGCTCTTGATCGAACTCAGATGAAACACAGCTCTTGGAGCGATGACTTTGTCCCTTCTACACAGCTCTTCCACCGAGTAACCCAAAACAGTTGCATTGCCCGTTTGTTTCGTCCTTCGCAGGTTTTTCGCTTTCAGAAAACTTCTCGAACAGCTGGCACTTGAGGCATGTTTGGCACTACTGGCCCTGCCATGTGGGGCTTCTAAGGGCTCAGGCTCGAATGCTTCTCACGTTTTTGGGGCACAGGGTAGCCGTCTTCAAACCAGGAGGGTGCACAATCAAGCATGCCAAGAAGAAACATGCCGATTTCATCCAATTTCACTGGATCAACAGAAACCATCAACGCACAGATCCTTCCAGCCTCTTGGCGCAGGTACCAGACGCACCGTCCTATCGTACAGGCGGCCGTTGTCTCGCCTGAACGGTTGCTGTCTCATGCCGACCAGACACCCAGAGCAGGTGTGGAAAAGCATTAAAGAAAAGACACCGGACACAAAGAAGCAGGTTCTTTGCTGTGCATAAGTAAGGGTAAAACCATGGGAGTTCAGGGAGATGAATCCTCAAAAAAATGAGTATATAGTTTCTTCCAGCTGTAGCTGGACAGGCATGCATTTTTTGCGGTTCTGTGCCACGAGACCTTGGGTCACGCCCCTGAAGAGGCCATCACACTGGACACGCCTGCGAGATTCTCAACTGAAGCGGAGATTGAGACAGGAAGTTGCGGCCCAGCCAGGACAAAATCAGGAAGCTGCGATTACAGGTGTCGTCGGTGGCACTATTCTAATTCTTCTCGGTGTAGGCTCAGGACAAGCCACTCTCGTGCTTTTTGGCTGAGTGTTCGATTGTAGCAGGGTGCAACGTCTCTTGTATATACAGTTAGCAGGTTTGCTTCTCAACACCAGATGTGCAAACCGTTTACCTTTCCAAACATGCTCACAGTCTGGTTCCTCGTATGCTGCGGGGCTGTGCTGTGCTCAGGTTAAGTTTGCAGTGCTAACGGCCAAAACCATCGCACTGTTAGAGTCCTAACCCTAACCACGCAGACAAAGATAAACAGAAACACCAGTTTTGCTTGGTATACCACTGAACAGAAAGATCAGCAAGAGTGGTGCCATCCACCTGAACGGAACATAACTTATTTCTACTTTGCCCCCAAACTGTCACAGCGCGTTTTCTGCAGCAAACACGATCTTGGAGGGGCCCACGTCCTTCGGGCAACAATACAACCAGTTTCGGGGGTTTCAGGACAAGAAATCGAATCCCCCCTTGGAAGAGCGCCTCTTCTTAGCTGACGTCGAATGCTGGGCCCAAAGCTGGCCCTGGCGTCATGGCCACGAGCCGTCCGGGTGGTCCCGTGCGTGTTGCGCTTTGGTACTCGCGCTGAAGAGGTGAAGTGGCTTGGCCGTGATTTTGAAGAGGACGAAGTGGATGGTATCCTGTACTCTGCGAAATATGAGCTCCAAGACAGAAGCATTTCCAGAAATGCTATCTTTTTTATTGCAAATCCTGAAGATTTGGATGGCGGCCTTGAAAAAGATCTCACCTCGGTAGGGGAAGCGCTACTTCTTGGCAACCACTCATGGTTTTTGTGGCATAGCTTGCTTGACGACCAGCATTTCTCCAAGATCAGTGGCCAACCACTTGAGGTGACACCTTTGAGTCGACTTTACTTCCAAGGTCTTGGGTGGAAGGCGTGGTCTTGCAGCATGGCTTCTGCTCCTCGGCGTCTCCTCGTGTCGCTCGCGCAGACGCGCGGTCGCGACTGGAAAGCGGCGACCTGGGAACGGTGTTGGGCCGACCAGAGAAGAGTTCAATCAGAAGCCGCGCACAGAAGAACGGGGGGTTGCTTGGTTTTCTTCCGATGTGTTTGGTTTTCCGCATCATGTTGAGCCGCGTCCCTTTGTTTACAGTAGGTTGGTGAAACCACACGTGGAACTTGAGAAAAGTGGCAGGGATGTTACTGCCATGAACATTTGGGAACTCTCCTTGTATGGTAGTCGACGAGACTCCCTAGCTTGGTCCGGAATTGAACAAATCGAGTATCAAAAGGATGCGATGAGGTGTTCAGGTCAGATCCTGACAGACCTCATGGGTGCGTGCCCAGCTGCCCCCACCTACTGGACCCCAGAGGCACCTTTCTTGGATGCCACTGGAACCTTTATAAACAAGTTTTCTGTTTGGCTAGCTCCAGCTGATAGGCCTGTCGACTCTGATTAGACACGCGCTATTCTTGGTCGGACACTTGTCAGTTGACTGGAGTGATATCCACTACTGGACTTCTTGATCTGAGCATGAACTATCAATGGAGGGAGTGCCGGTGGAGGACCCTGTGACATTTGGGTTTCAAGCTTTCAAAAGAATACTGTACCTGTTCTGGACTATTTGCTAGGTTCCTTTTGTAACAGCATATCCCATCTTCTCAAAGCTGTTCCCGATTTCAAGACACCAGACACACGCAGTCTTAGAAATGAGGCCCATGGGCCTTCAACTCAGCAAAGCTGGATGAGAATCTGGGCACATTCGACCGGTAAGCACACGGGGTGAATCCATTCGACCGGTGATGCTGACAGTGCTTGATCACAAGCTCATGGTGGATGCAGGTCTGCAAACAGGTGACGGTTTCCTGCCCGCTATTGATGTCCCACTTCTATCCACGGTCTACTTTTGAACCAAAGATAGATTGCAAATTGAGTTGGAGATGTTGGAAATATTGACTCCTTTGAAGGACTACATTGGGAAACACTCACCTTTGGAGTTGGAAATGGAAC